TGTGTCTACCGTCTGTGTTTGCGGGGTGGAGACAAAGTGAGGGAAAGAGAGGTGCAACGCCAAGACGGCCCCACCCCCACACAGGCGTCAGGCAAACAAAAACAAACAAGTCTGCGTGGTCCGCGTTGTTCACTGCAGATGCATGGGCAAACCAGCGCCCCAACGAGTGAGCAGCGCAGGCGCGGCTGCCCTCCCCGCGTTGACGCACACCTCGCGCTGCGTGGGGGCGCAGGCCCCAAAGAAGGACTCGCAGAGCGCCGCAGGAGCGCCCGCTGTCGCTTCGCACCTTCGGCGCACCCCGTGCCTCGCCTCCTCCTCCGCTCCTGCGGCGCCCAAGGCAGAGGACCAGCAGACTCCCACACACGTGCATCACAGTTCCCTCCCCGCAGCAGCAGTGCAACGCCCTTCTCCCCTCCCTCTTCTTCTCCCGCAGCACAATGACTCTCAGGAAAAACGTGGAAAATAACACGGCGAGGAACAACAAAAGCACGCCACATCCACGCACGCCGCGAAAACAATCAGCACAACAAGCTAAACCAAAACCCAAGCCACAACGACGGCAGCGGTGCGGGGAGAGGGACCCAAACGAGACCCTCCTGCGCTCCCTCCCCGCTTCTGCCCCGCCGCCCACACGGCCCCTGTGCCGCCGCCACACCATTTCCCGCTTGCCCTCATTTGCCACACACGCACAGAGACAGAACAACGTTTGCGCACACACCGGAGACAAAATATGGAAAAGATATGCGCCACCAGCAAACTACGCCAACGGCGCACAACGAAGAGGAACACCGCCAATTTGTTTCACTGCTGCCACCCATCCTCGGCACCCGCGGCGTTAAAACCACGCGACTCAGCACCGGCTGAGTGCCATCGCCACACGTCGCTGGCAGCGGTGTCACAGCGCCGCGCACCGTCGGCATCTGCAGCTGTTGTGTGGTAAATCCACCACACTCCTTCCGGGCCTCCTTAGCACGGCGCCACGCAAAGCCCGGCCGACGCCACCATCAACCAACAGCAAATCGAAGGCACCAACTGCCGGCTACTGGCTTCCCCCCTCCTCAAGGCACCGAGCCCCGGCACCACGGCAAGGCGGCCCGCGACTTCACCAGGGGCAACGTGAGAAACGCACCAACGCAGCTGCCCAGCGCAGGTGCAGGCAGTTGCCGCGCACTGCAGCAGCACACACGCGGGCGTGGGCACAAACAAGCAAACAAACAAACGATGGAGACGGCGGCGCGCACCACCCCCACACTCGCACCGACCACCGACAGCAAGAAGTGGGCAACGCCGCCGCACACCCGCAGCCACCAATCCCCCACTGTGCGCAGGCCATTACCGCACACACACACACACATGCAGCCGCAGGCAAGGGTGCGGTGGGGGCAACTGCATGCACGAGCACGTCGCCCGGCCACACCCTGACGGCGGCGGGGTGGGCGCAGCAAAGAAGACGAGACACGGATGAAAACACTCAGCGCCCGGAAAAACGTCCATATAAAAGTCAGCCGCAAACGCAGAGCCAACCAAAAATAAAAACGGCGAAAGAAATGGAGCGCGCAAAATAGGCACGGGAACTGGCAGCAAACACACAAGCAAACAAACAAGAACAAAAACTGAAAAATTACCAACACCCTCAATCGACGCCCT